CAGATACTCCAGGGAAAAAGATGTGGCGGTTGCTTCCATAGCTTTGGAAACCTCATGGGGCAGGTTACTCTGTCCCTTGGGGGTAATTGGGAGTTGGAAAGGAGCCCTGGTAGCATAGCAAATAAAATAATGGAAAAAGTATATATGTACCAGTTATCTATCACCATGTTACTACAATAATAAAATTTGAAATGCTCTAAATAGCCAATAATAGAACAATTTAGTAAATTATGCAGATCTTAGTATGATTACGAGCATTATATTACTGGGTAATTGGAAATGAGAATTAAAATAAAACTTAATTTACTGTAATTACAATTCTGTAAAATTCTTATGTAGTCAGACAAAAGGCATAAAAGAATATGCAAAAATAGACAATAAGCTAGGGATTATAAAACACTGCAGGAGGTGATTGAACTAAGAAATGGTATGCTGTCTGTATTAGCTCCCAATAAGATGGCTTTGAAGGAAAAAAAAAAGAAATATACTTTGTGAATCTTTTAAGTTTATTATACCATGGTTTGCATAGTCTTGATTATCCTGGTTAGAGGCTTAGGGTCCTGACTACATGGGTTTGCCCAGTCAATTGGCCTAATATTATTTGAAAGTGTTTGCTCTTCCCTCTACTGTAGCAGTTCTCAACCTGTGGGTCACGACCCCCTGGGGGATTGAACGACCCTTTCACAGGAGTCACCCGATTCATAACAGTAGCAAAATTACAGTAATGAAGTAGCAACAAAAATAATTTTATGGTTGGGGGAGGGGGTCACCACAACACGAGGAACTGTATGAAAGGGTCCCGGCATTAGGAAGGCTGAGAACCACTGCTGTAGTGTATTGGGTCACATGAACTTGCCAACCGGCCAACTCGGGTACAACAGCTGGTGTCTCTTCACCTGGAGCAGCAGAGGAAGAAGGAGACCCAGGCAAGTCTAATTGCCTTCACGAACTACTGAATTATTTCCCTGGCAACCGGAAAACTGGATAGTACCCAATTGCCATTGCTAAATGCTGTGATCAAAGGCTCAATAACTGGATCCTGATAAAAAGGGAGAGAAATGTGGGGCAGAACTTCAGATTGTGATAGAAGCTAGACTTACAGGACTCACTGGTACTTGAGGAAGTCCTGAATTACTTGCTCCAAGGAACTCTTTAAACCACGAGCCAAGTTCCCTGGAGTCATAACAAACCAAACACCACTTATGTCAGTGGAGAATGTTCACGGTGAGCATTGCAAATAGAACCCACTGCTGTCGAGTGGATTCCAGTTCAGAGTGAGCCTATAGAACAGAGTAGCCAGATCTTCCATCCATGCAGCTGTGGGGGACTTTGAACCAAAGACCTCTCAAGAGTTCTTCCCCACTGTGCCACCAGGGCTTCTTCAGTGAGACGAACGTCTAATCCTAACCAAACCCACTGCCAACGAGTCTGTGCTCACCATAGTGACACTGCCCTCAAGTGGATCCCATTCAAAACCTGCTCAGGCAATGGCATAGTGGGCTCATTCAGAGGAAAGGAAATGATTGGGGAGCCTGAAAGTGGTTCATTTCCCAGGATGTATTCAGTCAGCGGATGTGGTGAAAACACCTTCCCCATTTTGCTGCCCGAATCCCTTCTTGCTGTAGCTATCCAGTGTCCTCACCAGGCTGTGGCTGTCAGGTGTCTACGTGTTGGTTCTGACTCAATACTATATATCACACAAGGAAATACTGCAGGTCCCGTGCCATCCTCGCCCCTTGTGGCATTACGTGTTGGGCGACTGCCTCCAAGATCAGCAGTTCAAACCCACCCACTGCTTCTCGGGTGAAAGAAAGAGGCCTGCTGCTCTCCTAAGAGTTACAGCCTTGGAGACCCAATGGTTGAGAGGCCAAGGACCAGAGGGAGACTTGGTTGTTGGTTGAGGAGAGGTGTTCTGGTGGACCAAGGTCTCAATCCTTATTGTTCACTGACTTGGTAACCTGTCCCTCTCCTAATAAACCCCCTTAATTATGAATATTGTCCATGAGTACTCTATGGCCATTGCAACGGATTATGGAGCCCAGGATAAGTGGGAAGTGCTCTGGGAAGAACACTTGGCGTCAGAGTAGGGTCAAGACAGATGGAGAGTGGTCGTCTGTGTGACCCCTGCCTCCTGGGAATAGGGAAGCCAGAGGAGGTCAGATATGGCCACCTCCATACTGTTTACTGCACTGTCCAATCAGGTTATTTCCCAGTCGGTATGTTCCCAGAGGTGGATCACCCCTGAGCACACTATCTGTAGGCACGGGATTTAATGAATATGGGCCTCTTTGCCTGCAGGCCCTTTGCTAACAAGGCCCCTGCTCTGCTCACGTGAGGTCTGAATGCTGCAGCTTCCTCTCAGTTGGTCTCCAGCTACCCTGTTTCCCTGAAAGTAAGACATCCCCCGAAAATAAGACCTACTCACAGTTTTGTCTCTTGCTGAAATATAAGGCATCCCCCCGAAAATAAGACCTCCCTGAAAATAAGGCTCCCTGAAGCTATCGTAACTCTGGACTCTGGACGGTAGTGGCGGGCACCACTGCACAGCTCACTGTTGGCCACAGCGTAGCCGGAGCAGACAGGAAGTGCGAGGTCTCTTTTAATAAAACAAAAAAACGTGTACCATATTCTTCATCATGGAAAAATAAGACACCTCCTGAAAATAAAACCTATCGCATCTTTGGGAGCAAAAATTAATATAAGACACTGTCTTATTTTCTGGGAAACAGGGTAGCTGTAGTCAACGGAGAGAGAATGCTGGGAGTTTGCAGCGCAGAGGGAGGAGGAATCAGGGTAGTTCTGTCTAGGCCAGGAGTGATTGGGTGGTGCACTTAACGAGCCCATCTAACAGAAAGGTGGGAGGGCTGAATTTCAGTACCAAAGAAAGGCCTGCCATTCTGCATGCAAAATGCCAGCCCAAGAAGACCCGGCAGAGCACAGTTCCCCTCTGACAACAGACGCTCTCCATGAGCCAGAAGTGACTTTGTGGCCATGATTTCCCCCTTGGTTTGGCCTAAGGCAGTCTAGCCCTCCTTGGTCTGGCCTGCATGGTTTTCCGCCCCAGCCCCTCCCTGGCTCTGGAAGTCCCCACTTTGTCTCTCTAGCCGAAGCAAAGGGGCAGCCTTCTCCAATTGCTATTCTCTGCGTTTGATGGTGGTGTTCTCCCACTTTGTCTCCTAGATTGTTTTTTTTCCAATATCGCCTGACTCAGTGTCTATTCAAAATTTCCTCTATTTTAAATATTTGCAATGCCTTCTGTTTTCCTGGTTGGACACTGAGAAATAGAGTCATTCTATTAGATTTGATCTTTGGGTGCTAAGGGGGAAGAGGTCTCTTCTTACTGCAGTGAAGAACTGCAGGATTAAGGAGCTAGTGTCCAATTTCCAGTGTCCTAAAACCTAGTAGAGAATAAAGGCAAACAGAGCCAGGAAACAAAGATGGAAAAAGAACCCTAACACCTTCTTTATTTGGCTCGAGCTCGAACTCAAGCTAAAATTAGCATACACTTTATATTCCAAGCCTAAGATCCCTGGGTATCGCGAGTGGTCTGCACTCAGGTATAGCTGTAGGCTTGACTCCGCCCAACCACACTAGGAAGAAAGGCCTGGCGATGTCTTCAGCAGCCAAGACAACTCCGTGGAGCGTTCCTATCTGTGACAGATGGGGTCACCGTGAGTCACAATGAGCTGAAGAGCAATGGGATGGGTTTTTGCCGAGAGTCAAAGAGGCTCCTTGTGTAAAGGAAGCAGAACAACAGGCACGGGTTGGGACTAGTCTGGACAGACAGGAGTATACTCAGATCATCGCCCTGTCTGAAACTGACTTAGCCCTTGGCCTATCCAACTCACTGAGCCATTAAGTTCTCTTTGACTCTTAATGGAAGTTACATTTCTGTCCCGAAACTAAAAGGTTCTTTACCAGTGTACAAAATAAAAGCATAAGTGAAAAGAGTTATTTCCTACTGGTACGCATTTCAGGTAGGTAGAAAAAGGTTACCATATACTCTAACATCATTAGATTCTACACTTTGCTTATCAAATGCCCACGGTTTTGGGTACTACCACCAGGAACATTTTATAGAAGTCTGTGTGTTAAACACAATCATGCAGAATACTTGACAACAGCTAGAACATGCATACCCCACTCGGGTGAAACATGGCTCTTTGAGGGCCTTCCATCCCTCCCACACAGATGGAAAGCGGCCCTTTCTGAGCTTATTTTCATCCGAATATAAATTTTGGGACAAAGCATATTATCATTTTCCCTGTGCCCAGCCTCCATCTAGGGATAGAAGCCCACTATAATACCACTAACAACACAGGCCTCTGAGAACTGCTTGTCATCTTTACTCTCTTCTCTTGACTTCTTTCCATTTTCTCATGAGGTCTCAGTTATATTACCAATTACTGCTGGCTTATCCTACCAGTTTTTATTCCTAGCTTACCTAGGAATCTACCAGACATTTACAACCGTTTCTATAAGAAACGTGTTCTTTAGGGCCTAGTGAGGGAATGCTGCCGTCGCTCACAAGACGTGCTGTAGACCCTTCATTCAGTGCAGTGGCAGCACCACTGCGCGTCTGTCACAGAGCATGGCCATTCAAAGATTGTTTCTTAAGGCTGGTGGGAGTGGGAAGGCTCCCCACACTAGTGATGGCATTCTTAAAATGTAACTACTCGTCATTCAAGTGTTTGGAAATCCATGAGCAGCTATACCTTGTATAAACCATAAGGAGTGATTGTCAATAACTTTTCACCTTAACGGATTCAGTGCCATTTCATCAACAAAAAGAGCACCTGTAAGCATTTTATGAAGAACTGGAATCAAAAACTTTACTAAGCAACTCATCTGTCCAACTCATTTTACAGATCCAATACCTCGAGTCACATAATATACTTTAAAAAACATATTTTTTACCCTTTCTTTTTAAAAATCCTTTTATTGGGGGCTCTTACAGCTCTTATAACAATCCATACATCAATTGTATCAAGCACCTTTGTACATATGCTGCCACCATCCTTTTCAAAACATTTTCTTTCTACTTGAGCCCTTGGTATCAGCTCTGCATTTTTTCTTTCCAGAGGATAAATTAGCACAAATTTATTAATTGGAGGAAGCACAAGCACATAGAAATTTAAAGCACTGATGAATCAAAAATGGACTTCAAAAAGCTTATGGAACAATGGAATTGAAAGAATGAAGTTTCTGCAAGAATTTTAAAGCCTCTTTGTATACACATACAATGTCACTCAGCAATCTTTTTTCCCCCGTGGAAGGTAAAATTTCAACCTCACATCCTTTTTAATAAATTGTACAAGAATTTCTCTCAGGTTCTACAATTTTACCAAAGTTTATCACATAGATGCCATGATTTAAAACACAAAGGTATTTTGGCATGTTGTGTGTAGTTCTTCACTTTATTCAGCTAAGAATCTGTAGAAGTGGGAACATCTACCAAAGCCATTATCCATGATGTTAATAAACAAGTCTCACCTTCTTCTTGACCCTGAGCAAAGTAGATGGAGGGAAGGTTTCGGGGAACTAAAGGAGGGAGATAAACCAGAAAGGCATGCGTGAAGAACAAACAGAAAGAGCACCACAAACGTCAACAGTCTTACTGTCTACTCTCTAACGCTTGCTTCATCGCCCTGAGAGATTAACATTTCCTCAGTATAGACAGGCTGCTCCAGGACCCTAAAGCGTTCGTTTAGGGCTGGAAGGGACCTGATCATATTGTACACTCTCAATCGAAGCCTCAGCGGGGTCACTGATGGCAGGGACTTAACTCTCTCGGCGGACGATGACAGGGACTTCAGCACTTTAGAAGCTTCACTCTGGAAGATTTTTGTTCTGATGGTGTAGAAGATAAAAATTTGCAGTCCCTGCGGATGGAATGGAAGTTTGATGTGAATCTTCGATTTCTGTTCACACCAGCCACCCTTCCCACCAGGCACAACAGCTTCTGCCCTTGATGTTAGTCTGCAGCTACGGCACTTGACCGAAGGCCATGGAGTTGCCAAGGCCCTCTTCCTAAAGTGCTTCCTGTCCCTGCGGGAGAGTCCCAAGGATTAACTGACCGTGGAGCTTGCTCATGGTTTCTGATTAGTGTGACCTTCCCTTTCCTAAAGGAAGGGTGGCCGTGGTCCCTAATTCTTCTTCCAGTTCTAACATCCTATGATTCAACCTTTGCTGGAGCTTTAGTAACAGCTAGAAATTTGCTGCACGTAAAGGCAAATTTTGTGAAAATCCCTCCTACTCATTGTGCTTTGCACATCATCGAGGAATGACAGGCACACACGAGGAATCAATCCACAAAGGGCTGAGTGCTAGTTTCCTGAGTTTTTTTTTTTGGGGGGGGTAGTTTTTATTTATTTATTTTTCAGCAGTTTTATTGGCATATAATTCATATGTCATGCAATTCAATAGGTCAGTCACATCAAGGAGAGTTGTATAATCATCACCATCATCAGCTTTAGAACTTTTCCTTCATTCTTGTACTTATCTTTATTAGCTCCCCATTTCCCCCCAAACTCCCCTGCCATACTCCCAGGGAACCATTAATCTAGTTACTCTCTATATAGATTTACCTATCCTGGATTTCATATGCAGAAATACATTAAAAAACAAACAAACAAAACTAACAGGAATAATAAAGTAAAACTGATAAAACACCAATCAAATAGAAAGCAAAAGTTATTCAAAACTGGAAGAAATTTAAATGGATCATGGGGAGATAAATGATAGGGTGCTAAATTTTAAAGTAACTGCTCCTGCCAATGATCCACATTCTAATGTGTTCTGCACGATAGCACAGCTACTCACATCCTTGGCCCATTGGTCAGAGGGTAACATCAGGGGCTCAATCCACCTGTATTTCCCCTTCACATTTAAAAAAAAAGTTTTTAAAGGAGAAAATGTCAGTTACCGAACAGATCCTTGCTTCTGTTGTCTTGTTCAATCTTTACCCCAACCATATGAAATAAGTCTTACTATGCTCATTTTACAGACGAGAAACATACGTTTGATAATACATTAGCTAACTTTCCTGCAATGGTGGCTCTTGTTAGTTGCCATCAGGTCAGCCCTTGGCTCATGATCGCCCCGCGCACAACCACACTGGACAGAGGTGATGCATATGGTTTTCACTGACTGACATTTTGAAAGTAGATCACTGGTCTTTCTTTCTACTCCGTCTTAGTCTGGAAGTTCCTCTGAAACCTATTCAGCATCTTCCTTCATTCACAGACTCTGGGGAAAATTGCCTACAGTCATATGAATGGCAAAGTTGGAATACGGATGAACTAAGATGAGCGGGCTTTGTGCTGCATCAGCACCTCGATTATTGCATGCAATACTGACTGAGCCTCTATTTGTGTGATTGTCTTTTCTAAACTTGGAGAAGGAGCCTGGTGTCAAAGTGTCTATGGGTCGGCCTGTTAACCGCCAGAGCAACAATTTGAAATCAGCAGCTGCTCCACAGGCAAAAGACGGGCTCTCTACTCCCATAAAGAGGTACCGTCTCAGAAACACACAGGGGCAGTTATGCCCTGTCCTGAAGAGGTGCTATGAGTAGAAATCAACTCTGCGGCAATGGGCTTAGGTTGTTTTGGGGGTTTTAGCTTAAACTTTGGAGAAGAGAATGTCCTAAACTATGCCTTCTTTCAGATTCTTCTCAAAATCCCCGCTCACTCAAAGCTACAAGGCCACGGACTAGTTGGCAATCCCAACATAACATTACCCTATTACTGTCCTTCCAGGGTGATGCTCACCGAGTGTTCCAGAAGTAGCAACTACCCATTCAAACCAGTAGCAGGCAAGCATCCATTGTTAAAGAGAGTTATCCCCTAAAGGGACTAGGAGGGCTACCCAGGGCAGACAGCGAGGTGCTGACAAACATTAAACATGGCAATCTCAGACAGCCAAGCTGTTCCACCTACTGATTTGTTGACATTTAAGGTCAGGTCAACTTTGCCTGACGCCTTTTCCAACAATTTTCATTTTTAATCAAAGACATGTTGACAAAGGCAGAAACAAGCCCTAAGCTACCAGCATCCCAGAGTTGTCATTCTCTGTACCCTCATGGGTCAACCTCCGAAGCCGTCCACAAAAGCATAGAAGTCTGAAGGCGCCCTGGGGACACAGCACCTGAAGTACCTGGGTGAAAGGTCAGCAGTGGAAACCCGCCATGGGAGAAGGATGAGGCGGTCGCCTTCCATAAAGCCACAGTGTTGGACACTCTCAAGGGGGCAGCTTGTTCTACTCTGTCCAAACACAGAGGCAGTTCCTGGCTTAGAACAGGATTCCATGACAATGACGCATCATACGCTGGTTCTCATGGAAGTGGAAATACCTCTTTATTTTTCTTTCATTGTTATTTCCTTTTATTATCAGTATCTTCAGAAATCCAATGGATATTTGTCTTGAGATTTGGAAAAATCACATGCAAGCATCTGAAAGTGGACATCTGGAAATTACATTACATGTAGTACCTATGGCTACAATAAGAGATGCCTGCACCTCATCTTCCCTCGGCCAAAGTAAAGCAAAGAAAAACGGGTTGTAGTTGGCTGTAACTGGAATATGTCGGGGATGACCAGGAGTGTCGCTAGGAGTCGGAATGGACTCAGAAGCACGTAATAACAGCAGCTGTTTACCCCAACCTCTACCGTCATATGAGTCAATAATGGCGAAGCTGGAATACAGACTACATAAGATGATTATGCTTTGTGCCACTGTATTAGCCTGGGTACTTTAGAGAAACAAATCCACAGAAACTCATTATAAGAGAGTTTTATATGAAGGTTATGTGCGCACCAAGTAAATATCCCAACCCAGTGCTGCCCAAGCCCACAAGTCCAACATTAACCCATTAACTCAAATGTTCAATACCAGTCCACAAAGTCCTCCTCCATCTCACAAAACACACACTATGATGCCGACTGCAGAAGGAAAGCCAAGTCAGTGGATATGTAAGCATCTCAGCACTGGCAGGGGTCTCCACACGGCTGCTCCAGCACCCAGGGCTGCATCGGGATAGGTCCATGTGGCTTCTCCTTGGGGATGTCTTGTGGGAAGTCAGTCTTGCAAACTGAAGCAGGGAACTGCTAAGGCAGCTGCACCCTGGTGCAACCATCACAAAGCAAGAGACCCGAGAACTCGAAAGGCGAGGCTCACCGACCATTTATCTCTCCGCCCTTCAATGAATCCCACATGTGTTTATCGGCCAGGTTCGCACAATTAATTAACTAACTCAGCTACATTGCTGCCGCAATTGTACCATAAAAGACTGAGAGCAGTTTTTTATCTCCTAACCAAAGGGTTGGCCATTTCAAACCACCCAGCAGCATCCTGGGCAAAACACCCTTGCCAACTGCTTTCAAAATATTAAGCCAAGAAAGTCTCTGGAGCAGATAGGATCACCGTGAGTTAGAATGGAGGGACTCAACAGCAGCAGTTTGTTGTTGTTGTTTCTTCTTCTTCTTTTTTTCGATAGCCCATCTGGTATTGAATAACACACTACCTACTTTGGAAGATATACCCTTTGAAAGATATACACAGGGATATTTCTTGCATGCAAAGAGGTAATATTCTAGTTGAGGAAGTGAGACTTCCATGTATTACAAGCTAATTTGAATATCAAAAGAAAAGGGACAAACCAGTTTATAAAACTATAGTAATTCTATTTTACTCGATAATAAATTTTATTTAATTCATAGTTGAATGAATTCAACTAGAACTGGCATTGTTGCTTCGATGAGCAGAAGCCCATGAATCAATTGCTGGTCTGTGGCCCGTCAACGTCAGTCTCCTGGTTTGGCCCATGTATTATAATCACACTGTAGCTATCACAGGAGAAGCTGGATGAAAGAGACCTTGGAACTCTCTGTACCATCCTTGCACGGACCTACAAATTTCAAATTATTTCAATATGAATAGTGTCATCACAATAAGAAGGTTTTTCTTGAAAAAAGAGTGGTATGGCTATGGAAAGAACAAGAGAAGGAGAAAAGTAACACAAATAAATGTTTTTAACAATAGGAAATACTTTAAATATAAAAGCATAGATTGGATCACCCAGGCTGGTATGCTTCTTCCACGTGGACTTAGGTGACACCTCACTTAGATGGTTGCTTGTTTTAAGACAAACCTTTAAGACCCCAGGAACTCTTCTTTCTGATAGCTGGGCAGCATCCCATAGCTTCAATGATCTCTTCAAGAAGGTGAGTGAGATGGTTAAAGTATATTGATGCCGATAATCACATGTGGGATTAATTGAAGGGCGGAGAGATAAATGGCTCGGCGAACCTCGCCTTTCTTGTCTCTTGCTCTTTGATCATCAGACCAGGATGCGGCTGCCTTGCTTGTTCTGTGCCTCAATTTGCAAGCTACACTACATGTGGGGCACCTAGCCCAAGGACTGTGTTGCTGTAAGTTGAGGTTCCTTCAAGACCTGATTCGCCACACCATTGGAATTTACATCTCTTGAACTGGGGACTGTTGGTGACCTGCCTTGCTGTTTGCTGCCTGTGCCCAGGTAGCCTGAATTGCTCTACAGAGCACTACCCAGCAGCCTGCCCTCAAGACTTGAAGGACGTCCAGTGTCTCACGGGAGTGAGTTGTACTGAGCCATTTGTACTGCTTTGTAATTTAATTAACTGTTTATTTCTTATGTTATATATCTATCTGTATAAATATATATATACATGTATAAAATTATTAGGGTTCTGGTTTTGTTTCTCTAGAGAACCCTGTCTAACACAGTGAGCATCGAAGAGGTCCACATTGTAAGAACAAATTGTTCTTAGATAAGGGCTATGATGAGTTATCATCCCCATGGGACCTAAGGTAATTCCGATAGAATTGTTAATTTAGCCAAGGTATAGAAATTAAAACACTATCAAAAAAAGAAAACTATACATGCCAGGCCAGCTTTTCAGATGGCAATACAGCATTGTTGATTTGTACAAATTAAAAACGTGTAATTGGACACTATTTACATGAACAATGAGGGTAGGGATATGGCAAAACTTTCAATAACACTCATTCAAGAAGGCCTTTCAGACTAACACAAGCCATCAAATAAAGCAAAAAGAACATACAAATAGTAAACATATGTTAGTCCCAGGCCACCATACATTGGCACGGCAGGTAGATAATTTTTATGTCAACTTGAATTTTTATGAAAATATAGTGGTGAAGTTCAACCTGCCAGTCAAGCCACAGTCTAATGATGGCTCCTTGGGGGTGTGACCTTCTTGTAATCGGGTAAAGTGGAAGCTTTCCTGTCTCTCGGCATCTCTGCCTTCTGGAAGTCTCTGACTCCAGGGATGTCACATGTGGACCACCGGACCCTGCAAGTTGGCACTCTGCCATGTTTCCATTGAGTTTAGATCCATGTGGCTCCAAAGCCTGTGGCTTCCCTGCTTCCCGCTCACCATTCTGTGTCACCGGCATGCAGAGATGCGGATCTAAAGAGGGGCTTATGGACTGGCATCTCACTTATAGACACGAGTTGGTCTGGGCTGGGATGCCTTGTTGATATATAATCACAGAGATAAATCGGGAGATTTATTTCTTTAGACAACCCAAACAAACAGAGTAGGGTACCCTCAAAAGCAGATCTGGACCAAAGTCCAACAACCATCAGTTCATAAACTTGAGATAGCAGTCTTCTTCTCACACTAGGCATTTCAGCCTTAACTCCAAGAGAGTGTGCCAGTGCCTTTGAGTTTGAGGTGAGTTTGAGGTAAAGCTGAGTTCACTTAGTGGAGTTTCCAAGTTGTATCCTTCTGATGTGGCCGACGAAGGATGCTGTGGACTTCGGAAGGGCACAGTTTAAGTCCAAGTTGTCTATAGCGTGCCTGGGTCACAAAGGACTGGATAGAAACTAGGCCAAGAGTGTCTAATTAGCAGCACAACATCGAGCATATTCTCTGCTTGGGGTCTATAAAAGTATTGCTTATTGTTTTTGCCCCATGGCAGGTGGCCCTGCTTGGTTTACCCACCAACAGAAGTGTAATCACTTTCTCTGAGGCAAATATGTCCCCCCGCCCCCCACAACTTGAATTGTGTTCAATATACACACGTATGTTTCTTGCATGCAAAGAGCTAATATTCTAGTTGACAAGGAGAGACTTCCATGTATTATAGGCTAATTTGAATGTCCAGAGAAAGGGGACACACCTGTTTATAAAACTATAGTAATTCTATTTTAGTTGATATTAAAATTTATTCACTTGTTTAATTCATCGTTAAACGAATTCAGCTGGAGCTGGCATTGTACTTCAAAGAGCTGAAGCCCATGAGCCGATTGCTGGTCTCATTAGTGACTCTTGTCAGAATTTCTGTTGATTTGGGATGACCTTAGAACAATTCTCTATGTCAGCAACTGATTCGTCTTCTCTCTCTGCCCCCCTTCATGAGAAACTGATCCCGGCTAGAATGAGGCTTCTTTTGTCAAAGTGGTTTTCAATCTGTACAAATGAAGGGGATGATATATGGGTAATGGGCACCAAGTAGATAGGCTCACTACCTGGTTGCTTGGGAGACAGGATGAGATTATACGGCCTGAGAGCAGAAACCTGCCTTTGCCTTGCTGTTTCTCCTTGGAGTAGTGCAGTCATAATATTTGCCCTTTTGTGATTGACTAACTTCACTCAGCATAACTGTTTCCAGGTGTGTGTCTCTACCCGAGTTCCTTGATCCATTCTTCTACTGGCTTCCAGCTTCTTGCAATGAACATGAGAGCGGCTGTCTCTTCTTGTTTTGTCTCGTACTTCTTTCGGGCATGTGCCCAGTAGAGATGTTGCTGGGTTGTATGGTATTTCTATTTTGAGTTGTTTTCGGTAGTGCCATGTCACTCTCTACAGTGGTTGTAGACACTGCACAATGCCAATCAGCAGTGTATAAGAATTCCAATCTTTCTGCACCCTCTTCAGCCTTTATTATCCTGCATATTTAAAAAATTAAGGTATTGTTGTGGATGTAAGGTGATAACTCATCATTGTTTTGATTTGCACTTCCCCGAGAGCTAGTGATTGTGAGCATTTCCTCATGTGTTTGTTAGCCATTCATTGGTTATCTCTCACGTACCTTTTAATTAGATTATTTGTTTTTTTCCCTTATTAAGGTGTTGCAGAATTCTATAGATTTTGGTAATTTGTCCTTTCTCCATTGTGTCATTGCTAGAGATTTTTTTCCATTGGCTAAAGATTGTAATAATAAAATCCAAATCTGAAGGAAGGAGTGGCAACAACATTTACATTGTGAATAACTGGTGTGCTGTGGATAATAGTGGGAGCCCCAAATCCATGTTCAGGGCCCACATATGGGTTATCCCCTCAGATTACAGTCGAGGGACATGAATAGCCCTGGTCTCAGACAGAGAGCACTGTAAAGTTGATTATGGCATAAGTAGTGAGGTTAAAAATGATGCACTTTATCATTTGATCTCCCTTAAACTCATTTTAAAGTTGTTTCAGTTTTCATATTTTCTGCTTTATTTTCAATTGTGTTTTTTTTCCCCCTCTGCTTTGTTTTGTCATTGCAGTTGGGGTGTGTTTGTCTTTATTTGTTTTGGGTGAAGGTTGTTTCTTGCTGTTTTGTATAATTCTCTGTATATGAAATCTAGGATAGGTAAATCTATAGAGACAGTAACTGGACTAATAACTAATAACAACTTAGGAGCAATTCAAGGAGGCTGGGGAAAATGAGGATATAATCAGAATGAGTATGAGAAAGAAGAAAATGTCCGAAAATTATTTATGTTGATAATTGAACAGCTTTTCTTAATATGATCGAACTATTGAATTGTATTGATCTGTGGATTTCATGCCAATAAAACTATTTTAAAATAAAACACAGGAACAGATTGATTGAAAATAAGTGAATGACAAATATATACATTATGTAAACAGTACAAATAAAGAAAAAAGGCTGGAGCATATTAATATCATCCTGGATATAAGGTAGACTACGCTTCATGACAGAGGGTTATTATTGGTTTTAAGGGGACATTTCAAAATGTCAAAAAGACCAATTGATCCAGAAAGACTAGAAATTTTAATTTTATATGCATCTAACAGCACAACTTCAAAATGCATGCAGCAGAAATTGAGAGAACTATGGAGAGGAGTAGATAAATATACAATCACACTTGGAGATTTTCATCAGATGAGAGAATGAGACAAACATACAGGTTACCACCTAAGACTTGAACACCACCACGAACCACTCGCACCTTCTATCTATAGAATACACCTTTTTGTCAAGGGCAAAAGGTTTTGTTTTCACTAAAATAGACCAAATTCTGGGACACAATGCAAACCTGAATCATTATTTTTTTTTAATAATCAAAAGAGAAAAATTCAGCCACCCCCACAGGAGTCCAAGGTTGAGAGAACTTGCAGCACGGTCCATACAACAAACATGCTGCGTTGGGGAACGGGAAAGGAGATGTTGCCCAAGCTAGCTGCTTGATGAATCTCTTCTCCTCCAAATCTACCCAAAATGACACTCATTCCCACACAGGTGATCCCGGGCCTGGCAAGCCTGTGGGACAAGATCGACTGCCCCAAGGGGCTTCCACGGCTGTGACCTTTACAGAAGCAGCCTGCCACCGCGTTCTCTTGCAGAGCCTCAGTTTAAGCCACTGACCCCTGGTTCGCAGCAGAAAGCTTACCCACTGCACCACTGGACCTCCTTCTACTCGGAACGCAAGATTAAAATGGCCCAACTCCGTGCAATTATATCACGTGCCCACTAGCCCAGAACAGATGAATAGGGATATATGTCTTAAAGAGTTGATGAGTAATAAGAAAAATAGAGTCCTCTAAAAATAAGCAGTGGCCATCTCATGACAGAAACCCATTGTTGTTGAGTCAATGGAATAGAACTTCCCTGTAAGGTTTCCAAACGCCTCGTCATGGAAGAAGACAGCTCACCTTTTTCCTTCAGAGCAGCTGGTGCACTCAAACGACTGGCCTTTCACTTAGTAGCAAATGGCCTTCAGGAACATACAAAGGAGAAAACTTGACCTAGAGGGATATCATCCCTCTTCTGCCTGGTTTGCTACTTTCACGCGGATTCATACCATACCTGAGTAGTGTTGAAAAGGCAGAACACCCAGGTGAAGACGAGCCTTAATTCCTCATTACCAATTAGCATAAAGTATGCCAGAAGCCAGGTAATTCCAAAAACCACTGCAACGGATAAGGTGCTAACAATCTTCTTCATGGACGAAACCTTTTTGGTGCTGGATGAGAGAAAACAAGAAGGAAAACGCAGTTTATTCAGATCTTACTTAATATCATTCATTGCTGTACTTTGTGATGCATTCATATCTCTGCACAATATTGTTAATATCAATAAGATGCTCTGGTGGGCAAACTTCTGTCACTCTGGAGAAAATAGAATTCAGTAAGCAAGCTTTTTAAAAAAATACAGCGACATAACAAATAATTAAAAACGGGGGAAATAAATGAACAACCCCCCCACCCCGATATTTATATTGGTTTAAAGGCTTTAGCATAAAAAGACCTTAAATGCTACTAAAAGCTCGCCCTGGAACTATTGCCCTGACATCATCTTTGAATCTTTTTTTCTTGATTTTTTTAATCGTTTTACTAGGGACTCATACAGCTTTTATCACAATCCATACATACACCAATTGTGTAAAGCATATTTGTACATTCATTGCCCTCATCATTCTCAAAACATCCGCTCTCCATTTAAGCCCCTGGCATCAGCTCCTCATTTCCCCCCTCCCTCCTCCCTCATGAACCCTTGATAATTTATAAATTATTATTTTGTCATATCCTGCCCTGTCCGATGTCTCCTTTCACCCATTTTTCTGTTGTCCGTCCCCTAGGGAGGAGGTCACATGTAGATCCTTGTAATCGGTTCCATCTTTAAATCTTACACTAAAAATGTCCCCTGAAGTCTTCTTAAAACTGAACAAGATGTGGACTGACTCACTCACTCCCTCACTCCCTCACTCTCACTCACTCACTCTCTCACTCACTCTCATTCACTCACTCACTCTCATTCACTCACTCACTCTCTTTCACTCACTTGGTGGTGACAATGGGCTATTTCTCCCCTAAAGGCTTGCTGTCATCAGTCTGGTCCCTGCAGGGTGGGTTTACACCCTACTGATAATGGTTTTTATAGTGAGTCAGAGGACAGGTGAAACCTGCTCAGTGATATCCAAAGTTAGGCTGAATCTAGGATCCACCCATCTTGTCACGTGTGTACCCCAATGCCTCCCCTTCCTATTACATGGATACCCCTAGATCACCCCCCTTCCATTGCTGTATTACCTATAGCACAACCCTTTCCTGTGACGTATGTCTTCACCTGTAATTAGGGGGCTTGCATGTTCCCAGAGAATATAAAATCCCTGGTTAGCAATAAACATCTCTCTCTCTCCACGTGAACCACCAAGTGAGGCTGAGGTGAGCATGCTACCATATGTGTCTGACTCCATTACTTCAATCTCTCTTCTATCTCTCATGCTCTCTATGAATTTACTATAATCTTTACTTATCGCTGTACCATTGCGCCTACCGGACCCGTGATGATGTGTTAGGGCTGTATCCTGACAAGAGCTTGCCGGCTCCCTGGTCTTTGGACCCCTGTGACTGCTGTGCGAGGAGCTTCAGGCTATTGTAATAGGACACGAGGGAGTCTGGAACAGAGGTGAGCTTTCCCAACTACACTTCCTCCCCAAGGTCCAACCAAGCGCCACCCCAACGGGAATGTGGGGCCTCCTAGCTCATCCAGCTGCATGCAAGCCAGTCAAGGCCAGAACTCCCCGGTCAACACTCAAACTAATCACAACTAAAGCACATTTTCCATTCGAAGTCACTAAGTTTTGCGGTGGTTTGCCGTGCAGCAAAAGCTAACTGGCTCAGAGAAGATCATTTTTCCAACCATTAACTTTGCATGCTTTTAATTAAAATGAGGATGCTATAAAACCCATCGACTATGAGCCAAAGCTTAGAAATACAGCTGAATTTGGTTGATGTCTGTGGCCCCAAATGTTACCATTTAATACTTAATTTGTGATGAGCTCACCAAGGTTCCTCTGCATCACTGTTCAAAGGTAGGCTTTTAGGAGGTCAGTACTATTCTCCCTATCTTTCCTCTCCCTAGGCAATCCTTGTGTAGGGGCGCTGGTGGAGCAGCGCTGAAGTCCTTAGTTAGTAAATGACAGGTTGGGGATTCAAAGCCACCTGGCACTTTGTGGGAGAAAGCTGTGTTAGTCTGCTTCCATAAAGGCCACTCACCTTGGAGCCATAAAGCATATAGTTAGGATTCTTTCTCCACTGATGATGGTGAGTTCCACGGATCTATTTCTGTCAAGATTGACCTGGTGACCCACAGAGCTGACAGGTTTATGTCTTAGAGTAAGTCTCCTTGGGTTGGACAGAGTCTTGTGAAATCCAAATGGACCCACAGCCTCTTGAGCAGCACGTTCTCACCGACTGAATGCTGGAGGGGAGGGGACTATGTATGTGTGTAGTTAATAATCCCTATTCTTTGTCTCTCTCGCTGACAGTTCTTGCTGTACATCAGGATGACGATATAAATACTCACCTGGGCCGAAGAAGTCACAGGAGGAAGAGGAGCTGTCTGGACAGGTACCGTGAAGACAGTCCGTGTGCTCCCCGGCAGGGAATGTGGGCTCAGTATCCCAGAAGCCCCAATTTGTCAAGGAAAAACCCTCTAACTTTTAAGGGAAGTCATCCCATTTTTAGATGTTTGACACCAACACACCGCAGACATATGAAACACAGCAGCCAGCCAGCATTTTCTCACATGCTTTCCTTCATCATTAATCCAATTCTGATTTCTTCACTATTTGGGGTAGGGGAGAAACCTTTTGCCCTTTCAACTCATCAGATTGTGTTTGTAGGTGGGCTTTATTAGCCCAAAGTGCAACATAGCGGATATATATTGCAGCACTGGTGTTAGGAGGGAGGAAATCGACTTTCTGAGTCCACATGTTAAGTGAAACTGTCCTAAAACTCGGTGCCCTGGCCATAATCCCAGACTCAGTCAGCTGTGCTAGGCACTGTGCGGCTACCAGGGCGGGGCAAGGTGCTCACGCGGCTTGCCGGGCTGCAGCCCCTCCGTGGCTCTCACCTCGTCAGATTTTGGTTGTTCTTCCACAGCACTCTGACTGCGACGATGACAAATACAGTGACATTGCTGAGGAGGACAATGGTAACAGGGAGGAGGAACGACCACAACAAGGGACTGTTTTTCACATCGGTGCCTTCTGGACCGGCCAGCCAGCAGCTATGGAGGAAAACAGAACCTGCGTCAGCGGATCAAGGAAAACATAGTTCCCTATGCCAATAACATCGCCAACAGCCACTCAGCCGAAAGGACCTACTCAAAGTCAATACCCAGGCACAGGTGTGCCTTTGAGACGACCTTCAAAAATGTCACCCACTACATTGGTTCTAGCATATTTCTCTGTGAGCCAATATGGCGACATGGACTTTTGGGTCAATTAAGTGCTGCGTTTGTTACTCCCTTGATATCTGATTTTAAGCAAGCTGTTGTTGTTTTGTTTAATTTTGAATAAGTAACACATCTACCTCATTTCAAATATGAAAAGGTAACAATGAATGAACCCAGAGGGACAAGACTCCCCCCTCCATCCTTCCTCAGCCACTCAGTTTCTACTCCCAGAGGCAATCAGTGCTTCTCGTGTCTCCTAGAGGTCGGTGATGCAGGACCCCGGCGGTGCTGCTGGCTAAGTGGTGGACTGTCACACTGCACAGGTGGCAGTTCGAACCCACCAGCTGCTGAGTAAGAGAAAGACGAACCTCTCTGCTTCCATGGTGACGTACGGCCTCCGAAACCTTGTGAGTCTGACGCAACTTGAAGCCAACCCATGAGTGGGCTTTCTTAATCTTTAAAGAAATGGTAACACATGCTTGATTTAACAATGCATCTTGGAGATCATTCCAGATCAGACGACACGGTCCTCGTTATTTAGTAAGCTGCCTTTTCATTCCTTTGTCTTCATGTAGAATAACCTATTCAAATAGTCTCCTCTTGATGGATGTTTTACAAAGTAATGTCGTAGCGCATGTGAGAAACTTACTTGCGTTCACTGCATCTGGATTTCTGTGCTTGGTAACGGGGAGCAGTGATGACGCTTGCTCGCCTCTATCAAGTACGAAGCACAGTGCCCTCGCCTTCGAGGAAACGGCCTTGTGGGGAGGGGTGGGCAGCATGCCTTACTTCCTTCAGCGTCAGTAAGGAGGAGCGTCCAACTCGACACCATCCCATGGCCAACTGCCACAAGGCAGAAGTCAGGCACGTGTCTTCCTCCATCCTTCTTCACCCTGCTTGGACAGCAGCCACTCCTTCTCCGCTGGGTTTGATAATCCATTGCAACGGCCTCGCAGATGGGGCTTTCTACTCCGGTACAGAGCTACAGTCCCAGCAACTCGAGGGGCACGTCCACCGGCCTGCAGGGCCGCTGTGCGTCGGCACTGACGCGATGGCAATGAGTTTGTAGGTTTGTTTATTTGACAAGTTAGTCGACATTTTTCACCGCGGTGCCTCTCTCAGCCAGCAGCCATACCTCTCTCAAGCTCTGTCAGCCATGAAGTCCCTTGGCCTCTGCTTTGCTCTGTGTCAGGAAAGCCATCTCGGTACCTTGCACTCTGTGCTTCCCCTCTGTTCTGCCTCATGGGCTCAGCCTGGCTCCTCTGTTCTGTTCTGTGGTCTCGGCACGGTGTGACCTCGGTGCCTCTGCTGTCTCTGAAGGGGGCTCTTCTCTCCTGGCGAGTAGGGATTGCTCCCTAGACTCTTCTTACGATTCCCAGAAGGAAACACTGACCAAGCCCCTCTCTTGGTGGTTCAGTACCTTCTTTGCATGGTCCCACCCAATCATTTGGTGGGATTTACAAAGACATGGTAGAGTTGCTAGATGAAAGCACTGTCACTTTATCACATCATGGCATTGTTGAAAGAATTCATTCATTCATTTAAAAGGTATTTATGAAATTTGTGCTATCTGCCAGCATTGTTCTAGACACTAAAGTATTAGGTTTGAACAAAATAGATCAAAAATCCCCTCCTTAATGGGTTTATATTTTAGTGGAGAAAACAATACATAACAAACAAGCAAATAAAATATTAATGATGTCAGATGGTGACGAATACCATGTAGAAAAATTAAGTAGACAGTAAGGGTAGAATTCCAGCATATGCAGTGGAGGTAAGAGCCCCCAATAAAATGATTAAATAATAAAAAGAAGGATTACAGTGTATGATATGTGTACCTGTGAGCAGGGGTTGTCTCCTTTTAAATAGGAAATGTTTTGTCAGAGGGAAACATGATATTGAGCAGACAGCCTTATCTTTTTGCCCTGGAGCAGATAGTAGTTTTGAACTTCTGACCTTGCAATTGGTAGCCCAATATTTATTCCACAGCACTACCAGAGCTCCTTAAAAGTACTCAGGAATTTTCTAATGATACAAATAAGGGTAAGATGTATGACACCCTTTTGGGTGTACCACTGTGCCAAAAAACAAACAAACAAACAAACAAAAATTATTTACAAAACCCTAGTGAATGAACTGGTCAGTTTTAACATCACACTAGGTTTCAAAGGAGGATTCCCAAAGCAGACGTGGGTGGGGAATATCACTACCATCAAGAAAATAAGTTAGGAGCAGATCTTGTTCTTGAGACTCACAGCCCCTGTACTGAGAACCACCTGGACTTCAGAGACAAGTCGTAACAAGGAAGACCGTGAGAGACGGTGGCACAAGCCTGGCAAGAGTGATGGCTCTGTGAGACGGAAGGTACCAGGAGACCAAGGCCAGGAAGTTGCAGTGAGACTTGATGATTCATGGAGCTAGGAGTTGAAACACTAGCCCCAAAGGGCCCTGGCGATGTCCCAGCAACAGAGGGCAAGGAAAAACGGTCACAATCAAAAATTATAACTGAGTTGTTTCTGGTTTGTTTGTTTTTTAGTTATTCCTGATCCTGAATTGTAACTTGTTGCTTCTCTAATAAATCACATCGCCATGAGTAGGTTCTGTGAGTTCTGCATAACCACTTCATACTGTGGTGGCTTATGTGTTGGGGTGATGCTGGGAGCAAGTCATCTGTATTTCAAATGCCAGCAGGACTGCCATGTTAAAACGGTTTCAGTGGAGTTAGGTACCAGAGTAAGAACAGACTAGGAGGAAGAAATCAGCTGTCCACTCAAACCTTATTAATAGCTGCCTAAGGTGGTCAGATACAGTGCTAGAGGGTGAGCCTCTGGTTGGAAAACATTCAAAATATGGCTGAGGAAGAGTCCCCTCTCAAATGACAAGGATGGAGTAAAGCTTTTAGACCTTCATTTGCTGATGGAGCCTGACTCAAAATGAGAAGAAACCAGTACGAACATCCATTAATGATAGGAAGGTGGAATGTATTACATGTGAATCTAGGAAAACTGGAAGTTGTCTAAAATGAATGGGAAGGTATAAAGTTTTATGTCCTAGTCAGTTGTGATTTGAAACAGACTGGCCTTTTGAATTGGACAATCATAGTTTACTATGTCTTGAATCACAAATATAGGAAGAATACCATTTCATTGATCATCAGCAAAAAGAACATTTCAAGATCTATCTAGTGCAACACAATCTGTGCTACCAGTCAATACAAATATTAATCAAATTTACATACCAATCACTAAAACTAATGAAGAAGAAATTGCGGAATTCAACCAACTTCCTTAGTATAAAATTCACCAAAGACGCAATCAAGATACACTGATAATTACTTGCAATTGGAATGCAAAAGTCAGAAACAAAGCGGCGGGATCAGTAGTTGGAAAATATAGTGTTGGTGAGACTGTGGAAATGGCAGTTGTTCAACCTTGGGTGGGACCCCTGACCGAGTGGCGTCCAATGAAAGGGGGCCTAGAACCACCCAACATTAAGTACCTCAATGCTCTCCTTGCATTGATGTGACAGCTTTTAATCTGAGAGGCAAGGACCTGCCCTTGTAGGAAATGATACAGGAAAACTTCCCCTAGCACCAACCCCAGGGCTCAATGCAAAGAGAGTTCAATCAGTTAAGAAATCAATCTGTATGAAGCAACAACTCCTGATGGCAGCTTTCAGTTGAACTCTACTTGCATACACTCTTCATCTCCACAGTACCTTCAATTCTATGTCATTGGATAAATTATTGATGTTATTAATGTAATCGCCTTATACCCCAGAGGGATGATTGACAATCTTTATCATTTTTGTTTCTTTGGTTTTGGGGAGTTTGTTTGATTTGGTGGTTTTTAAAAAATTGTTGGTCTTGTTTTCCACATACCCCCCCTTGTCATAATATGACTGTCAAAGTAAACCAAAAGTGGTCCATAACCCATGCACAGGCAGATGGATTCTGGGCTACCATGTAATTCTAGCCCCTATCCAAAAGCAGTTGTTCTTATTACATTGCCCTGCTCAATATTCGTTTTCATGAAGAGATTACTGAAGATAAGGGTGGTACAGCAAAATGTGGTGAAGATAGCATATGGTGCCCGGTTATCAATTGCAATAGTGTCTGGGGTCTTACTGGCTTGTATTCAAACTAGCAGCCATCTAAGTGAGGCATCAACGAAGTGCACATTAAAGAATCACACTGGGCTGTGCGACCCAAAGATGATGATAATAAAATCCAAATATGATGAAGGGAAAGTATCAGAGATTAAACTGTGAACGCTCAATTTGTAGAAGGTTGTGGAGGACAATGGATCGAACCATGGTATGATATGATGCTTGGTCAGCTAACCTCCCTCTTGACCCAATCTGAATTTTCTCTAGACTCAAATATTTCTCACTTGTACCATGACCGAAATTTCTTCTCTGGCTTTTAAAATTATTGTTGGTGATCTTTCCTTTCTTACTCTTTATGTTTATCTTTATACTATTATTTTCTGTTTCATTTTTGTTTTTGATTACTATTGTTTCTGTTAGGCTTCCCAGAAACGTATGAAGTGCATGAAGCACAGACGGAGTGGATGCGCAGAGACAGTAACTGACGTAGTGGCTGAGCCAGGACTGGGGGGGGGGAGATTGGAGAATAAACGGTGAGTATGACATGGGGAAGGGAGCATTGGAACTGAGTGTGATGATGTGCTTACAACTCTTGCAAAAACGGAATCAACTATGGAAGTGTATGATATGTGAATATGCTATCAAGAAAACTACTACTGAAGACAAACAAACAAACAAAAACACAAACTTGAGCTGTTGTCACCACGCGTGAAGGAGGACGTTTATTTGCTTAGGAGGCATTGAGTTCTGTTAATGGTGGTGGAAAAATTAGGAAAAGAATATCGATAATGGGTGTAAACCATGAAGACTATAATCAATGACACTGAATTTTACATGTAGAAGTTGTTGAATTGAAGAACAATTCACAATGTTTTGTTGTGTATATCTTTGCCACAATTTAAAAAATACATGAATAACAGTAAGTGCAAGGAAGAAGAAAATGTTTTAAAATAGATTGTGGTAATGATTGTACAGCTCTTCTTGATATGATTGAACCATTGAATTGTATGATGTGTGGATGAAGTGTCAATAAAACTGTTAAAAGTATGGCATTGGTGATATCAATTAAGCTGCATGATAGATTGCATGATACACTTGTGAGACCAATGAATCCATATTGGAAAACCCCTTTCTCAACAACATAAAAGATGACTGTACTCCAGGACTTCGATCTGTGGAACACCTGACAATCAGATAAATTACATCTGTGAAAAAAGATGTTGGAAACATTCACTGTTGCCAACCAAAATAAGGCCAGGGGACAAGTAGAACAGATCACCAATTGTTCATTGTGAGTTCAGGTTGAAGTTGACTAAAATCAAAACTCCATGCAGCCGTAAGTATATCCGACCTGAATTAGAGGACATCTGACCAACAGACTTGATGCATTGGACACTGACAGGAGATCTGACAAGTTGTGGAATGACATTAAGAACATCAGGCATGAAGAAAACAAACTCAAAAACTCTGTGCCATCGAGTCAATGCCAACTCAGAGCAACCCTGTAGGACAGGGTAGATGGGCCCTGTGAGCTTCTGAGACTCTGTTCTTTATAGGAGTAGAAAACCCATCTTTCTCCTGCAAAGCAGCTGGAGGTTTCAAACTGCTGACCTTGCAGTTTGTAGCCCAATTCATAACCACTATGTTACTAGGGATCCCGAAGAAAACAAAAGTCATTTAAAAGGCAGGAAAGAAAGAAAAGACCAAAATGAATGTGAGAAGAGATCCTGAAACTTGCACTTGAACATACAGTAGCTTAAATGCATGAAGAACTCATAACGTGAAAGAGGTGAACAAGAATTTTTAGAGGGCAACTTGAGAAGACAAAGTGAAGCAGTTAATGATCTGTGCAGAGACTTGGAGTTAGAAAGCCAGAAAGGAAGATCCTCAGCATATCTTAAACCGAAAGAGCTAAAGAGACATTTCAAGTCTCTAGTTGAAAGATGCAGTGGGGTGAACATTGAATGATGCAGGAGAGTCACTGCCAAAGAGAATTGGTTGACATTCAATCATTTTAAGAGGTGAGATATGCTGAAGACCATGGCATGCTGCATTGAAGACCTTAGTGAAAGATAAGGCGCCCGGAGCTGATGAAACACCACTGGAATGTTTCAATTGGCCGGTGCAGCACTGGAAGCACTCACTGGTCAATGCCAGGAAGACAACGGCCTGGCCAACCAACTAGAGGAGATCTACATCTGGGCCCCTTCCAAAGAAAGGTGACCCAACAGAATGCAGAGATTATCAAACAATAAAATTAATATCACATGCAAGTGAAATTGTGCTAAAAATAATTGAAGAACACCTGCAATGGTATATCGACAGGGAAGTGTCGGAAAATCAAGCTGGATTCAGAAGACATTGTGGCGCTGCTGACACCAGATGAACCTTGGCTGAAAGCAGAGAATATAAGAAAGCTATTTACTTGGGTCTTATTCAACTGCATGGATCATAACAAACTATGGATCATTTGGGGGAAGAGTGGGAATTCCAGAACACTTAATTATGCTCATGGAGAACTTGTACTGAGACCAAGAGAACAAGGGAATTTAAAGTGTAAAATCAGGCAAGGTGTACTTCAAGTATCCTTTCATTGTACCGATTCAGTCTGTACACTGAGCAAATAATCAGAGAAGCTGGACTCCGTGATGAAGAATTCAGCATTAGGATTACAGGATTGCTTATTAAAACCTGCAAAGTGCAGATGACATGCCTTGCTTGCTACACATGAGGAAAACTTGACGCACTGCAACCTTCTGTATGCATTGCAACTCAATGGAAAGAAAACAAAAATCCTCATGACTGGACCATGAAAAACAGAAAAACATTGAAGTTGTCAAAGATTTCATTTTACTTAGAGTAACAATCAACACTCATGGCAGCGGCATTCAAGAAATCAAATGATGTATAGCATTGGCAAATCTGCTACAAAAGACCTCTTTAAAGTGTTAAAAAAGCAAATATGCCACTTTGAGCACTAAGGTGTGCCTGAGCAGCCATGATATTTTCAGTCACCTCATTCAATGCACGTGGAAGTTAGGCTGTGCCCATGAAAGGATCTACTCTCAATTATTTATAGCTCATTGTGGATACATTGAAGTCAGTGGTTTCTTTTGCCTGAAGGTTTTTATAGGTGTGGGTCTAACGCTGCCCTTTTTTGAGCAGGAGAATAAGAATGAGATCTGAAGGGTATTGCTTCTCCCTTGGGATAACTTCACCTTACCCCTTGTCTCTATGGGTGGAATGAAAACTTCATAAGCCCATTGAAAGGTCTTTGGCTATAATTTAACCTAGAAGAAAGCAATGCTTGTGCATAGCTGGCTCCTGAAATCAAGCCATGCAGGCAGCCCCCCAGTCTTCAGCATGGCCAGCCCTGGGGAGAGGGTTAGTACTCTGCCAACACCACAATCTTCTGGTGGGTGTATTTTCAAAAGAAATACATAGTTCTACAAGTTTTGTTTTCATTTTGGTTGGTTTGGGATGTCAGGTGGAATCTGGTTAAGAATGGTTAGCTGGTTCTAAAAGGAGACGTGAAGAAGGAGTTCAAGAGTGGTTGCAAACCTACAGGGAAACAGTTGAGTTTCAATACAGCTCAGCTTTCTGCTCTTTCCACATAAGCAGCAAACAGCACCCCACCAGCTGTTTTATTATTAACAGGTAATTAATCATACAAGAGTCCCAGGAAGAATTTATGGGTGACAAATAATCATAAAATATTCATTATAATAATGTCAGTATAGACTTGTTTTGTACAAGTGCTTTTCTACTTATGAAATATTTCGTGCTTATCTGACTTCTTGCAATACGCCCAGAGTAGGTACGACTAATGTCATTATCCTGATTAAGGAATAAGATATGAAGAGAAAACTATGATAAGGAGTTACTGAGGATTGTGCTTATTGTCTTATGTGAGTTCCACACTTAATTAAAGAAGACAAACTGAATATCTGAAAGGTCAAGATTCTGTGACGTTCACTTCCCAAAATGACTTATGTGCTCTTAGTGAATTCGAAGTGCTTCCAGCGAAAAGCGACTATTATAAAGTCAGATGTATATGTACTATGAAACCTCACTTACTATCAAGGGCTCATGTGGGAGAGGGGAGCGGGGAGGGAGGGGAAAAATGAGGACCTAATGTCGGGGGTTTAAATGGAGAGAAAATGTTTTGAGAAATGATGTACAAATACGCTTTACACAATTGATGTGTGTATGGATTGGGATAACAGTTGTATGAGCCCCTAATAAAATGTTTAAAAAATTAAAAAAAAAGAAACCTCACTTCGATGACACTGATTAACTACTCTCTTCCTCTCAAGAACTAGCTGGCACCGAGTCAACCCTGACTCTCAGTGTCCCCTCTGAGTTTCCAGGACGTGGGTTCCAGGAAGCCCAGGCTTTCTCCCTTGGGGCTGCTGGCGGTTTGGAGTTGCTGGCCAAGGGGATCGCTTAACCAGTACCACCACCAGGCACCATTATGTCAAGAAAGGGCCGTCTAAATACATCATATCAACTCACATTTCTTCTTGCCGGTATTTTAATTCCCATTGGAAACCATCCTTATTCTGAGAATAAATGATTCCCAATGTCAAACCCACCACAATAGCTGGGACTCCTGTGTGATGAACAGAGACAAAGAATTAATAATTTACCCAAGACAAAGGATTAATAATAAAAGACCATGAATGAATTATACATCCGAGCCTTTTCAGAAGGTATCATTGTACTTCCCACCACGGTTCATATCTTAAATGATGCTAAATATTTAGATCAACAATGGGTGTGATTTTCCTCAATTTTTCTTTCCCTTTGGGTGATGGAGCTGCATACAAACCCTATAGGATTTCTGATTTCTTCATATGGCTTACCACAATTTTATTCTTAAAGGTCTAATTTCTTTCTAATTCAAGTAGATTTAAACCTATTTAAACACTAAAATAAACATCTTCCTAAAATGACTTCCTTTGTTGGTATCCAGTAACATTTTCTAATTATTTTTCTTAAAGACACCTATTGATCATCCTTCTTGTAATATTTCTTTAAAAGTAGCAAGGATTTGAATTATATTGTGTTCCCCATCTCAAATCAAGTTAATAAACAGAGTTTATTAATTTTAAGTTACCTTACAACATATGTTGTAAACTGCCTGGGCTTCTGCGGCCTTGTTCACTGGAGTGTAAATTCCTAGGCCAAAGATATTCCTTGCACCCTATCTCTTCTACCTGAAAGCCTTAGACCATTAGGCTTTCAGCAGGTGCCTGTTTAAGTGAAATGATTTCAATACAATGAAACTGCTGAGTCAGCGAAGAAGCAAGCACTTACCCCACCCAATTAAGGAAATGTAGAGAATGAAGTGCTGCGGAAGAGGCTTCATGGTCCAGATTAGAAGGAAATAGAGCTGGGCAGAACTGAGTGCAGTCCAAGCGAACGTCACCAGCAGGAAATAGTGCAGTAAAGCAGCGATCGCAGTGCACGTGGGGTTCGAGATGGCGACGGTGTCTCCGCTGAGCATTTCATTAGCGGAATCACTGTTTTTAATGTCTTGATCGCTCATCTGTATGTTCTTGTTGGAGTTCTCAATCCCAAACACAAACAAGAGGTTGAAAATCAACATGGATGTGCACAGATTGACCAACACCCAAGTTACTGAGGTTTTTCTGCCTTTCCTGTAAGTAGACAGATAAACGGATGACAAAGAAAGCAAACCGACTGGAACAAGGAAAACTCCAGAGAAACTGAGAGAACAACGGAATACTTAGCATTCAATGCAAATCTAACTCATCGTCCAGCAGGCTAACTGGTAAATCTGCCTAAAGCATACTTTTCTCACCTCTTACTTCTTTCTCACACAGAAGTGGGTTAGTGGGAACAAGTTGATGCATACATTCTAGAAACTGTGTTCTGGTAAAAAAAAACGTGATGGAGACTCCCCCCAAAAGGCCCCCAATGAGTCTTATTTCCCAGCATTGATGAGTTATGCAGTTTCCCTGCAGGGCCAGCCAGTGACTTGATTTAACTTACACTACAGCAGTAGGTCTGGCAGTCAGGGTCAACTGACACATTAGACATAATAGGCACAGTGTTTAGGACCTACAAGTTTTTAATGACCCACAACATATTTTAATTCTGCTTAAAGTTCAGAAGAAACAATTGAACTGTATAGGTAAAAAATATCTTAGCATGTAACATTGGTATAGCCACTTTATATCAATGAAGTCATGACATGCAATTTCGTGTGTGTGTGTGTTTGTGTGTTTGTGTGTGTGTATGTGTGTGTGTGTGTGTGTGTGTGTGTGGAGTGTCCTACAAAGGCAAAAGTGCCTAGAACCCACGGAAGTCCTAATGACTGTCCAGGTGGCAACTTCCTCTTAGGAGCTCTGGGCAGTCTGAGTTACTGTGTAAGCCACCCAGCTATGCTGGTGAAGAAGCCACATGGCAAGCGCCTGGGGCATATGAAAGGAGAAAGGCCCAACTGTTCCAGCCTGGACCTCTCAACAGACCCATGTCTAGACTACAGGGGCCTAAAGAAACAGGAAACTAAGTAATAATAATAATAACAAAGCAGCTACAGAGGGCATGTCTGGGACAATTGGAGAAATCAAACTATGGATTAGACATTAACATGGTAATATTTTTGTGTTAATGTTCAATTTCTTGAGATAACTTTAATGAGCAGGGGTAACAGCATCATTCTATGTCGGAGAATGTCCGTGTGTTTAGGGGATGCATGGTTAAATTTTAGCGATATCAACCATGATGCTTGCAACATACTTTCAAAATTTTAGGAAAGAAATAGAGTTTATTTAACAGTGACAAAAATATTAATAATTGGTGACCCTAAGTGAATAGTCTAACAGTGTTCAGTGTGCTCTTCTTGCAATTACCATTTTTTTCTACAGATACTCCTAACTATGGGCTGGGTACACAGTGGGTACACAGTGGGTACATAGTGACCTAAGCAAATAACAACTAAACAACAAAATCCAGAGGTCCTTGCTCTCATGAATTTTCATGCAGACGATGAAACATATAACAAACAACTAAACTAATTAATAAGATTTTAAGGGATTAGATTGCCACAAATGTAACGTGTGACAAAAATGACTGTGCAACACAGAAGTGGACCTTCAGTACACTGCATTACTTGACAACTTTCCACATTTGCAGAAACCAGTTCAATTTCCAAGGTGCCGATGTTTCGCAACTTACTTTCCCTTTTAAAAAATGCAACTTGATAGACACTGTTCTATTCAAAATTGAAAACTGAGATCTTAAGCAAATCTCGTTTTCTGCCTTCCCTTCTAGTTCTGAAAACTGTATTCTGGCGAGAGTAAGCTAAGAGTAAAGTAGGTCCACATACCAATTTCTCTATCAAGAGAGCTTGTTTCCATTCTTACCTTGTGGCGACCTGGAATGCAATGGTGAGAGCCAGGCCAGCGATAGACAGGGCGCACCCAATGTTGGATAATACGTTCAGTGAATCAGGGTAGTTATACTTCCTTTGGAAACTCTGAAAGGGAGTTACGATTTTGTATATTTTAAAGTACCATTCCTAAATTGTCTATGAAAGTCAGTGTTATGAAGAGTTACCAAGAAAACAAACCAGGTGCCAGTAAGGGGATTCCATGTCTGTGAGCATAGAACCCTACTCCATCGGGTTGTCGATGGATGAGTCCGCAAAATTCATCCACCAGGGGGGTCTTCCAAGGGGTCGCTGGATGGACTTAAGCCTTCAACCTTCCCGTTAGGAGCAGGGTTGTGCCCCACGGGCATTCCCCATGAAGAATTAGCACACGGAAAAGTAAGCAGAAAGTGCCAGACCTACCTTTATTTATGATAAAGCTATTTATACATGATATGGTCACAACCCTTTTATCACGAAACAGTTTCCCTAGGGACTCGAGCTAAGGAAGCAGACAGTAAGCAAACCAAGGGATTTGATGGGAGGGGTGATCAGCTAATTAACTTGGGAGAGAATTTATGGACATTTCTTCAAGATTTAAAGTACAAATTTTTTGGATTTGTTGGCTGGAGTGGTTTTCTTTATCCATTACGTTATGTTAATATTTTATTTTAATTGATATTTTTATAAATATGTTTTTAATTTTCATATGTCATAGTCCAAGTGAAGACCTGCATGTCTAAACTAAAATCAAAGTTGCAGAAATATATTCATGGAAAGCTTTTCATAATGCTGTGTTAAATTGCTTTTTTTTAGGAAGGGAGGTACATGTTTGCATAATGTACCTATGTCTCTAGCAGGTAGAGATGATGCGCACCCACTGTGTCAAGTCGATTCCAACTCACAGGGACCCTCTAGGACCGAGAAGAGCTGCCCCATAGAACTTCCAGGCTATAAATCTTCACAGAAGCAGACTGCCCACCTTTCTCTCGAGAGGGACTGGTGAGTCCGAACTGCCGACTTTTGGATTGGCAGTCACGTGCTTTCACCACTGCACTGCCTGGACTCTTGGTATAGAGGATAGAAAAGGCTATTCCAAGAGTCTATACTTTTAGAGAACATTTGGGAAAGTGATGACATGTAATGTTTTGCTTGTCTGACTTTCTGATATTTAAAATGACTAAAGTTAGAATACAACAGGTGCTTACTTGTAAATCAGGGAATTAACATAGAAACATGATAACAAGGACATGTCTGTCTTTACTACTGGCTACCGACGGGCACGCGAGGAGCCCTGGTGGCCTGGTGGGTAAGCCGTAGGCCACTGCAGGCCAAGTGGGCAGCTTGAAACCATTAGCCGCTCTGCAGGAGAGAGATGGGGCGTTCCACTCCCGTAAAGAGCTAGTCTCAGAACTCCCGGGGGCAGTGCTGTCCTGTCCTGTAGATCAGATGGGTCAGAACTGACTGACAGTCGTGAGTGTGGGTTTGATGCAAACCCTGAACACAGCCTGCCCTTAAGGTTGAAGTTCCAGCCCACGCAGAAGCACCTTGGAAGAAAGATCTGGTGATCTACTTTAAATCAGACTCTGGAGAGCCAGTGAAGCACATTTCTACATGCTTTTCTTTATCAATGTACTTCCATCTATTACGTAAACTGTCATATTTTACCTAACGGGCATATGTTGCTGTATAGAAAAATAATAAAATACACTTTTTTTAAAAAGCCCATAAAACAAAAATGTCACTGTGTTTCTGGTGTACAGAATTCTTAGTGGTCAAGTAGATGCACAGAGAATTATAGTCTACATAGGTCTCTGGGTCACAGAAATTTATTTGTTCAACCTATCTACTCTTACTAGTACTTAAAACGTTTTTTCTTGTGAACTATGCGGGGGTTCACATATCAGATCAGCATATTTTTCTTCTACAATTTTAACAACATATCGACCTCCCAATAGCTGTGCTCCACATCCCCACTTTTTTCCCTTCTCCCCTTTGTTGCCTTTCCCTTTCCTTCACCAAGTCTCCCTTCTTCCCTATTACTTCCCCATTCCTCGCTTCCCGTCACCCCCATTAACCATCAAAGTCTGTGTCTTTGGTTAGTGATCGGTTATTTTTTTGGGGATTTCAAAACCTAAAACTAACTTGGTGACACAGATAAGTCACTATTTCTAGAGACAGTCTCAGAAATGAGTACAAAGTAACGCTTCACAAACTGACCTCGAAGGAAGACAGAGACAATGACGACAAAGAAAGCTCAGTCATTCACCATCTGCAGAGCTAGCCAATGGTCCCGATGGCCTCAAGAAACACACACACACACACACACACACACACACAAAACTAAATAAGTTTTCAAAAACGATCTTGTAGATTCGCTGCTTGAGAAAGCAGATCGTTTAGCACAAATTAAAAAAGACAACAGCGAAACCAATAAAAATAGTGTTGGGATAATTTAAAAAAAAGCTCTCTCTTTTTTTAAGGCGAGCCTTTATCATTTGATATTCTATGCTGTACCAGTCTATCTACTGATCTCGATTGACTCCCTAAATCCAGCTGTAGCCTCGTCCTAGGAAGAGAGAAGCTCTGTTTCTCCTTGGGAATTTTATGGTGTCAGTAATGTGTTACAATCAAGTAGATTCTGCCGTATGGTAACCCTGTTACAAACATCGAAAGTATGCCTCATTTCCCCCTTTTTTGCTAATTGTTCTTTTTCTTTCTCTCTCTCTGCCCCCTTCTCTCTTTCTTTCCTTTTACATTTAAAATTGTGATTTGGGTGAATGTTTACAGAGCTGGTTGGTTTTCTGTTCAACAAGTCCTGCGTAGTTGGATTCATGGTTGGAACCCCCACAAGACAACAGTCCTCATTTCCTCTCTGTAGCTGCCATTTCTTGCAGCCCTCCTCTCGAACCCTTTCTGCCTCCTGAGCGTATCCCTGAACAAATACAGATTTTGATCATGTGCTTGCTTCCTCCAAGAAGTGCAGACCTCACTGGAGATGCTGTTCCCTTTACGGGCCTGCCTATTGAGGTACCCTCGAGTTCTGGTTTCAGGTCATTGAGGCTAAGGTTCTCCTGGCCCGGCTCTTTGGACGGACTGCTCCCTTGCACCCTTGATTCTCTTCATTCTTCTTTGCTCCCAATGAGTAGAGGCCAATAGTTGCCGCTTAAATGGCAGCTCGTGAATGTTTAAGATCCCAGTCCACCACCCAAAGAGGATGCAGAATATTGTCTCTGTGGACCAGGCCATGTCAACTGGCCTTCTCATCCCCTGAGAAACTGTGGGCCTGAGCCCCAAGGCCCACCGACTTGTTCCTTCAAAGTGCTTGGCTTGGGCTAAGACGTTTTCATAACTTTGCCCCTGTATTCACTACTATATTCACGGATACATTTGCGGCACGTGTAGATACATACATATGTAGTCTCATTTCTGAGACTGTCTCTAGAAATACATATGTAGATTAAAAGCAAAACAAAAACAACTCACAGCCATTGAGTCGACGCTGACTCTTAGCGACCCTAAAAGACAGGGTAGAACTGTCCCTGTGAGTTGCCAAGATGAACTCTTCTCGGGAGTAGAAAGTCCCATATTTCTGTCGATCTAGCCTCTGTCATCTCTCTCTCTATTTGTCAGTGCAGTCCCATCTTTGCACCGCTCTTCTATGTCTATCAACTCACAGATTGTTACTCCTGTTGATGCCTGAGCATACATGGACAGTCTTTACCTCTGTTGCCTCTAACTCTTGTGCGCCTCCCAGCGTATTCCTTTGCCTTCGTCATTCTGTGCTAACCTAGCCCTTCTGAATATGACCTTTCCCTTCACCCAGGTTAATACGACGTGCCTACCCCCTAGCTGGTGACTTACCTCTCCCTCCTCTGGCAATTTTCAAGGATGATTCTGTGTGTAAATCTTTTCTTGTTTTCTTGTGGGGCAGTGATGGTTTCAGACAGGTTTGCCTTTTGGTGATTGACTCATTTTTTTCAGCATAATATCCTCCAGGTTCATCTATGCTCTTAGGTGTTTCATAGATTTTTTGTTATTCTTTAACAACATACAATATTACATTATGCATATGTACCATAGTTTTTTATCCATTCATTCATTGATTGACACTTAGGTTGTTTCCATCATTTTGTGAATAATACTGCAATGAAAGTTGTGTACATATATCTGTTTGTACATATATGGGACACATATATCTTATTTCTTGTTTTTATAGGATATATTCCTAGTAGAAGGATTGCTACATCATTTCTATTTCCAACTTTAAAAGGATGTGCCTCACTTTACAGTCCCACTAGCAGTTCCGGAGGGTTTCAGCCTCTCGAAGCCCTCACCAGTATTTATTATTTTCTGTTTGGTTTTTTTTTTCAGTTTGCTGTTAATGCTGGTATGAGATGACATCTCATGTTGGTTTGATTCACCTTCATTGGTAGTTCCTAATTATTAGCATGGCTTCATGTGTTTGTTAACTGCCTGGACTGTCTTATTGGATGAAGTGCCTGTTCCTGTTCTCAGCCCATTTTAATGGATGTGTAGTTGAAGTGCTGAGCATTTTTGTGAATTTTTGATATGAGCTCCTTGTCCAATATGTAGCTGTCAATCATCTTTCTCGGTCTGTAGGTTCTCTTTAGACTTGTTGGCTGAAGTCCTTTAATGCGCAGGTCCCAGTCATCCAGGTTTTCCTCTGCTGTTGGCACATTTTACATTAGGGTGCCTGAATGTGCCCCCAATTTTTCTTTGATAATTTTTACACCCTGAGATTTTATATTCAGGTCTTGGCTCCATCTTGAGCTAGTTGTATATTGAGAGATATGGTTCCTGTTTAATTTTTCTGTAAATATATATCCAGCTATGATAGAACCAGGTGTTAGAGAGACTATCCCTTCCTCCGTTTGTGGGTTTTGGTCATTTGTCAAAGAACAGTTGCCCATAAGTGAATGGATTGACTTCTGTGTTCTAAGGTCCAATGGCTTAAGTGTCTGTCCTTGTACAAATACCAGCTACTTTTGCTAGTGTAGTAGCCCCTTTCTTTATAGACTCTTCCCATCCTGTTACATAGGGTTGCAAAAAACACAAGACCCCTCTATTCTTATTTCCTTTCCCACTAGTCCCCCTATTACTCCATTCTTTTTTTCCTTTTTAAAAATCATGTTATTGGGGACTCTTACAGCTCTTATCACAATCCATCCGTCCATCCATCCATTGGGTCAAGCACAAGTATACATAGGTAGCCCTCATGGAACCTCAAAGGTTAAGTGTCTATGCAAATTAAATCCCAACTTTATCTCCTTTGAGCAATATCAAAATTGTGTATAAGCAACTTCCTGTCTGGGTAGAAATGAGTATCTTCATTCTCACCATTAACACAGCAAAGTTAGTGGTGTGGTTGCAGCTGCAGTGCAGAAATCCATCGAAGTTTTGGGTCTTTTTACAACCATAGGTGTCCCAATCATTCTTCGAAAGATTCCAAAAGACACAGGCGTAAGAATGGAGTTGGAATTCTGTTTGATTGTACTGTGAATTGACAAGACAATACAAATGATTAATTTTCAAATGCTTAATTCAGTAGAAAAATAGGGTGGGCACATCAGAAATCAATGAAATATTTATTAAGCATTGGCACCTTCATCATAGATTGCTCTTGCTATCTGGTCAGCTTCGACACACTGACCCTATCTATGTGCAACAGAATGGAACACAGTCCCATCGCACCACCCCAGAAAAGGGACATATAATTCAAATCAGTTAATTTTTCCCCAGCTAGTCTGACAAAAGATATGAGGAAGAAGGAGGTTAAAATAAATACTTTTAATGAATCCTCAAGTTTATCTTGGATATCCTTTATCTAAACTACTCTTACTTTTGTTGGCAAGAAAGGGCTGGATTTTTTATTTATGTTAATCTGAAAACTCACCTTTGGATTAAAAATCATTTCAACAGACACATCCTGCTCTCTCTTAACTCCATTAGTTTTACTTGAGATAATTCTTTGACTAAAATTTGATGCCGTTGTAAAAGTTTTTGATTGGAAAAGTTTATTGTTTTGGTATACAACAAAACCACATTTGTCAATGTTTTCTGTGGGGAAAATAGAGACATTAAAATCAATATATGAACCCAAGATTAATTAAAAAAAACCCTCATGGTATTGTTGAATTTCATACCTACTGCACATTTGAATAACATACAGTAATAATGGTTTGCTGTCTAAGACATTACCTAATTGTAATGAGTAATTTAGATCTTGGTATACGTGAAGGGGTGTCAAAAAGCTTGTGGGAAAATTGATTACCTTTTAATTTTTCCACAACTCTTTGAAGCCTCCATATATACATGCACATACATACGCGTGTTGTTAGGTCACAGTGACCCTGTGTATAGTACCCCCTCCTGGTCTCCTGCCATCCTCACAACCATTGGGAAGGTTGGGCCCATTGCTGCAGCACTGCGTCCATGGATTTTGCTGAGCACAGTCTTCTATGTGAGCATCGTGCCATTTTCTGATAACACATTCAAAGTACACGAGACAAATTCTTGCCATCTTGGTTCCTAAGGGACGTCCTGACTGTTCTTGTTACAAGCTAGGTTTATTTGTTCCTCTCAACGGTGGTGTATTCAATATGCCTTGGTGACACCATAGTTAGGGGCATCACATTTTCTGCAATCCTCCTCATTCTTTGTCCAGCGTTTCCTTACATGTGAGGCCATTGAATATGCCATGACTTGGATGAGGAAAACCCAAAGCTCTCAAAGTGATACCTGTTCTTTTTAACATTTTAATGACAGAAGGTTAGCGAGCCTTCCTCCAGTGCTCCATTCTTTTTCATACGGTAGTTTCTCAGATTATTTGCTCAGTATATGGGTTGAGTAGTATGATAAAATAATACAAGCCTGACCCACACCTGTCCTAAGTTTAAGCCATGCATGAGTATCTCCCTGTTCTATTTAAAAACGACTTCTTAGTCTGTGCACAGGTGGAGCACAATGAAGTGCTCTGGAATTCCGGTTCTTTACAATGTTCTTCAACAATGTTGGCCAACTGACTAGAAGAGATCCACATTAGGTCCCATTCTAAAGAAAGTGACTGAATGGAAATCAGAAATTAACACACAATATCTTTAATATCACGTGCAAGTAAAAATTTTGCTGAAAATAATTAAAACACAATCTCAGCAGCACATCAACAGGGAACTGTCAGAATTTCAAGTTGGATTCAGAAGAGGCTAAAAGCCAAGCATACTAGAAAGATGATTACTTCTGTTTTATTGTGCATGCCAAGGCACTTGACTGTGTGGATCATAACAAACTATGGATAACATTGTGAAGAATGGGATTTCAGAACACTTCATTGTGCTCATGCAGAAAATGTCCATATAGAGACAGAGACAGTTGCTCAAACAAATCAAGGGAACACTTTCACCTGAAAACTTGGTTCATGCTTCAGAGTTATCAGACCCAATTAATAACTATTCCAAGTAGAACAGAGAAAGAGAAAAGCCGTTTGTCAGAAAAGCTAGGTTAATGGAGCGTCGAGGCAAATTGGTGGGTGTTCAACTCATTTCAGTTCACAAGCAACATTATACAATTTTGGTAACAATACCAATCACGTAATATATCAAGGTATGCTAGAATTCTTAGGTTATAAGACAAATGCTCGCCTTCCCGACACAACTGCTGAAGACAAAGCGGGTGCATAAGCAAATGTGGTGAAAAAAGTTGATGGTGCCCAGCTATCAAAAGATATATCATCTGGGTCTTAAAGGCTTGAAAGTAAACAAGCGGCCATCTAGCTCAGAAGCAACAAAGCCCACATGGAAGAAGCACACCAGCCTGTGTGATCATGAGGTGTTGAAGGGATCAGGTATCAGGCATCATCAGAACAAAAAAATCTTACCATAGTGAATGAGGGGGGAATGCAGAGTAGAGACCCAAGGCCCATTAGTAGACCACTGGAGATCCTCTTGCAGTGGGGTCTCGGGGACGAGACGAGCCAGTTAGGGTGTGATGTAGCAACAATGAAAAATACAACTTTCCTCTTCTTCCTAAATGCCCGCCCCCTATCATGATCCAAATTCTACATTGAAAATCTGGCTAGACCAGAGGATGTACACTGGTACAGATAGGAACTGGAAACACAGGAAATCCAGGGCAGGTGATCCCTTCAGGACCAGTGGTGTGAGTGGTGATACTGGGAGGGTAGAGGGAGAGTGGGTTGGAAAGAGGGAACCGATTACAAGGATCTATATGTGACCTCCTCCCTGGGGGATGGACAACTGAAAAGTGGGTGAAGGGAGACATCGGACAGGGCAAGATATGACAAAATAATAAGTTATGAATTATCAAGGGTTCATGAGGGAGGGGGGGGGGGGAAGGGAGAGGAAAAATGAGAACCTTATGCCAGGGGCTTAAGTGGAGAGCAAATGTTTTAAGAATGATAAGGGCAATAAATGTGTAAAGCAATAAATGCTTTACACAATTGATGTATGTATGGATTGTGATAAGAGTTGTATGATCCCCTAATAAAACGATTAAAAAAAAAGAAACAAAAAAAAATCACACAGCAGAGTTGTACACACAAAAAGAACTCTATCGAAAAATATCTTGATGTCTTCTTTCTAGATGGCTACCTCTCATCATGTCTTGTACCCTAGCCAGGAGACTGAGGGTCAAGCTGACCTCAAAAGGGGTGTAATGGTAGTCAGTATTCCAAAGACCTGATCAAGTACGAGAAACAACTACAGTATACATTTAAAAGACAGGGGGAAAATACAGGGAGCATTAAACAGAATCGATTATACATAAACATGACTGACTTAGAACAGAAATGACTGACGTCATGATCACAATCTTCCCTTTGAGATACCAGGGCTCTATTAATAAATGTTAACACTAACCCAAATCACTCCAGGTTACTATATGATGGGGTACTCCGTTAAAAAAAAAAAAAAAAGGATATTTTTTCAAAGCTATGTATTAAATTTTTTTTACAAAACAACCTCATCACCTTTAAAGTAGTTTCTATTATACTTAATACATCTGTCAAATCTGCGATTCCGTTCTTGGAAACATTTTTTCAGACTCATCTGTTTGCATGGCTGACAGCGCCTCCCTTGTTTCTTTTTCTTCACCTCTTCTACATCATCAAATCTCTGTTCTTTCATGTCCCTCTTCATTCACGGAAACAAAAAGAAGTCGCACAGAGTGAGGTCAGGTGAGTCCGGTGCACGGAGCAAGAGAGATGCTGTTTTTTGCCAAAAACTGGCACACTGAGATGGCTGCATGATCAGGTGATTGTTGTGATGGCAAAACCAGTCCCCAACTTCTGCCACAAATCAGGCCTTGCACACTGTTACACAATCTTTTCAGAACCTCTAAATAGAAAGCTTGATTAACAGTCTGACCTGGTGAAATGAAATCCAAATGCACTACCAGTCAACATTTTTGTCCGGGAAGTTGACAGATGTCCAGAACAAATTTTGTCATCAATTAACATTTCCCCTTTTTTGAAACAAGAATACTTGTACACTTGAATTTTTCCCATAGCACTGTCCTTGTAAGCTGTGTTCAACATCACAATAGTTTCTGAAGCTTTTTATCCAAAGAGAAAACAAAATTTCACAGTCACATGCTATTCTCTTAAATTGGCTATCATAAAAAACAAAGTTTAAGTGAAACTGCTTTTACAAAAAATTCACTGTGACCAGAGAGAACCTTCCCAGGCGACGCCACTGGGGGCACTGACTCAGAGCGAGTTGCTGGATGCTCTCCTAGCGGGAAAAATACGTACTATGAGAGCTGCACTCCATCCAGAGCAATTCCGGTTTCTTTTTTGGGGTAGCCCCTCGTATTTAATCTGACACCTAGCAAGAGCAAACTTATGAAGCAGTAAAATATGATCAAATAAATACAACACAATGAGTACAGCATACAAACATGCCTAGGAAAATGATTGGGAAAATAGTGACAAATATTTTAACTAGGATAAATTGGGAAGCCAAGAGGTGAATCATGAGGGATTTTAAAAAATGCCTCCCTGAATTTAACATTTTTGTTTCTTCTTTTACTTGATCCAATGTTCAATTAACTTAGAATTATCAGTAAGTACATGTCTTTTAATCTTGAACTTCTATAATTATGCCTGAGCAGAAAGTAGTAGATTATGGCTTGATTCTCCAAAGCTGTTTCTTTGATTTGTTCTAATTCTTCCCCTGCCCCCCCACCCCCAACAGTTCCTGCTCCTTTTTGTGGGGGAAGCATCCTCCCCTTGCCAAGGGCTTGCTCTCCACGCTGCAGACACGAACTTTTCATTTCTCCCCAAACTGCGAGCCACGCAGGCTTTTTTCTTGCCCGAAGTCATTTGGTTTCTATAAACTTCTGGAAAGCGTTCCTTCTCGGGCTGTGTTGAAAATTGCTCCTCTGGTTTGGGGAGGCCTAGACTCCCCCACTTCCCTCCCCCACTTCAAACTCATGTTTGGTTGCCAGGTTCTGGATCAGATTAGCGTCAAGAGCTATTTACCGGGCGACTGGGACATACCAGTGCTGCAGCCTCTGTCCCCAGCCTGTCTTTCTCCTTTTCCAC